TTTTGCTCTGAAATTGTCTTGTACACACTCCTAGTAGCAGAATCTGGAGATTTCCTTGCCAATACTGTTTCCAAGTGAATTATAAAAATATATCTGTACCGAAACAGCTGAATGCAATGCACGCTCCCAGATTTAGTCACTCAAGTGACTAAAGTTTTGTCTGGAAAACATCAAAGTATGTGTCTCCAGTCTCCAGGGACTAACTCATGTTCTGCAAGACTAATGACTACATCACAAGAGCACTGTAGGCTCTGTTTTGGAACAACAATTAATATTTATCACTTACTACTGACCATTATTCCTCTTCCACTGTCCACCATGGGGAAGTTTGCTCTCTCCTAGCCCACCCTTAAAATGTGAACAGACCACCAGATGTGATGGAATTTAGGTTTGAGACAACATCCACATCAAGTGGAAATTACCAAGTGTTTCATTGATCAAATGAACCTGGAACAAAAAGACGACTCAGAAGTTTGGTGTGTTTATTTTCCCTCATGTTTGTGAATATTGTTTTTCATATTAATAGAGCCACCAAAGAGTCAAAGCACAGAGCATAGATAACTAGATTTAAATACCAGTTCTAACACGGAGCTTTAGCACTTGCACGTTAAATTTAATAGAAAAGCTCCTGATTAGCCACAGCTCCTCCCGAGCCTTCTCCTTCACATTCCTCTCAAAGGATGCTGTCCCAGTGGAAATTTGACAGACGCCATCCTGCAACAAACAGCTCGAGTGTAGGCAGGCTCCCACCTACAGACTGCGTGTCATTAGCACCTAACAGGTTACCCAATTCATTTTGATGTAAACCCAGAGAAATTGGGAGTCAGTTCAGCGAGCAGCAAGAACTCACATATCGGAAAGACCTCGGTCCCCCTGTGTTTGCGGGCTGTTAGAAGCAACACATTTGCATTGTCAGTGACTCGCAGTGCAGCTCATCTAAATTTGGGAATCCTCTTCCCACTTCCCAGAATGTGTGCTTGACTGAAACCAGCAAGTTGCCAACAAGATTTTTTTAATCCAGCAATTATATTTGGTAACTCATTAAAGGTTTACTTCTGCTTGGAGCCGACAAACACAACAGGAGCCCATTCAAGGCAGGGGGTACCTGAAACAACGGAGCAGCAGCAGTCTGGGTTTTGGTACCAGCTCAGACGTCCAAAGTTCTTAAGATGGACTTCAGCACAGGCTACGCGTTTTGCCAGCTTTGTTGTTACTTACACAGACTCAACCCATCGGGGAGAAATGCTCTCAGGTATGCCCACGTGTATTGCAGCTACATCCAGAAGTCCCGAAGATATATCCTCAGGGAGTTTGCATGTTTGAGACCTTTGGTTGTTCCCCCCCCGTCAGAGCCCACAAGCAGTTACACATCACTTCCTGAGCAGTCCTTTCCTCCGCGAGGCCAGGCTCCCAGCTCTGCAGCCAGCCGGCCCAACTCAGCCCACAGACACCAAGAAAACACTCGTAGATGTATTGAAACTTTGAGCTGGCCGCTGCAATCTCAACATAGAAAATACTGCTACCAAAAATATCAACAGATCATACTTGAGGCTTTTAAAAACTGATTTTTTTTTTCCTCCCTTCAGATTGAGATCTCCCAAACATGCTGCTGCAAGCACCACTCTGGTGCTCGTACATTAATTATTTTCTTACACGGCTAAGCTGGGTTTCTTCAAGCAGCATGCTATTCTCATACTTGAAACAAAAAAACATTTAGACAAGGAACATCAGAGTCGTGATTCATCGAGTCCCTAAGCGCTTTAATTGTTATCAAAGGAAGCAAATAGAGCAGAGCAAGGCCACCCCTTCTATTTCAGAAGGTATCAGGAGATCACCCCTCCAGTTACAGCTAGAAGGTTATCAAAACACTCACGTAACACCACCAGGTGTTGCTCAGACTTGGGACTTAGGGTACACAAAGGTTTTTGAGGCTTCTCTGTTCCCCCAAGAGCTGTCCTGAAGCTCACGCTGCAGCATGGCCCTGTCCTACCCGCCTGCCTCCTCCAGGTGGGTGTGCTGAAGCCGCGAAGCCTGTGTACTCATACCAGGACATTAACACTGCTGCTTTTCACTTCAATCACCAAAAAGTTCCAAAAAGTTACTTTGAAACTTAGCCTCGATTAACAAGCAAAACCCTAGTTAACCGATGACTATTTACCTTAAACCAAAGCAAAACTAATGTATTTGAAGACGGCCCCACAAACGCCAGAAAAAGCTAGCGAGGCCCTGAACTATCACCTGTCCTGAATGGAAAAGTAAATCCTGTACCAGGGATTTACTCCATTTTAGCAGTTTGTTTCTAACTAGGGTTTCCCAAGGAGGAGGGGAGGAGAAATGGAGAGAAAGGAGCAAGGAAAGCTGAAAACTCGAAGTCGAAGCCGACAATAATGTCAATTCACACTTAGCACCATTATTTCCAGAGAGGTTTCGGGTTCTGTTCGCTCAATCAGTTCCTTTGGTTTCCAAGAGCCATGTAGACTGCTGAAATACTACTGCAATAAGCACTTTAGAAATATCAAGTACTGCTGAGAGACTAGTAATCCTCTCTCCTTCAGACAGAAGTTTAGTCATGGTTGGAAAACGAAAATTGACCATTTAATCCCGGAGATTTACACTGCATTTCTATCTCAGATCTCAGCGCTGTAGGAGCTTAACAGAACCATTACTTGATGACGCTGAGAACTGAATAGAAAAAGGGGTAAGGTTGCTGCAGCTGTACTCCGCAACGTCCAACAGATTTATATGCTGTTCTACATGACCATTTACATTTCAAGTGGTCCACGTATCATGTTAAATTAAAAATTGATCTTAAACCCCTTCTTGTAAGTTAGCTACACAGTGATCTCCGCTCCACTTAGTGTTAATGGATGATTGCTCGAGTCTGAACTTCCTGAAACACGGGAAATAACTTGTAGTCTAAACACTGCTATAGAAAGAATAGCAATCAGATTCACTTGACAATTTACATTGTCCGAGAAGCAAAATTAGTTTACTTAAAACATTTTATGGTTTTCCACAGAACCGTAATACAAGAAAGCATTACACTACGCTAAATTTCCCTGACAACATCACTGTTTTAAGAGCCCCCTAAATCTGTCTTGGTACTTTTCTTCTTCCTGATGATTGCAGCAGAATTTCAAGGTGTTATCAGGATTCTTTCAGATGGGTAAGAAACAAACAGAACATCTACTGCCTTCTCCCCAGTCCAGTCTCAGACCTTCCCATCAGAAAACATTTTGTTTCCTCTGTTTGCTCTTTCCCCTGCTGCATGCTCTTTCCGTAGCAGCTATTCCCAAGCCACTCCCCAAAACTATGGATGAAATACACACTGTATTTTTACACAAGCGCCATCTCTGTCATCCAGAGAAACAAAAAAGCAGAAGTTCAACGGACACTGTACGCGTACCTACAAGGGTGCCATACCCTAACACTCCCAAACCATGATCTGCAAGGCCAAAAGGGCGTTCATTAAACCCTGTTATCTCCCTTTAATAATACCTCCATGTTTTACTTTGATGATTGGGAGGCTTAAAAGAGGTGTTCAGCTGACAACGCTCCATGAAGTGCTGTAACTACTGGTCTTGAAATCAGAACACCAGCCAGCTACCTTGAGGACCCGGATTCCACAGATTTGCCCAAAGCCATCCAGCAGACAAGTGCTTCAAGTGTGTCACTCAGCTTCCCCAAGATGATGGAGACACTTTCCTTTCCTAGGCACAATAAATTCTACTGCTGAAAGCTGTATACTTTCTTTATACATAAAATATTATAGTATTTTAACCATAAATAGTATTGCTTCTATAACTTAAAGAAGAAAGTCTCATCAAGTTGTTGTTTCCACAGATCTCTACCTTAAAAGCTTCTGTTACTACTTTAAAATAGTAGTACCACTAAATATACCAGTGACAGTGCCAAAATAAGCATCGTCCTCTATGATAAGAATCCTTGCTTCTAGATATACAAATAAAAAACTTGTAACAACGCTTTTTTTCCACCTGAATTCAATCAAAGAAAAGCTTCTGAACTTCAACTTCCTTGCAGTTAATGGGCCTGTAACTCATGTATGTGCTCATGTAATAAACAGCATGCTCCAAAAATGGACCAAAAAAGTAAAGGAAAAGAAAATCAGCCAACAACGTTCTGGTTCACTAACAGAAGTTAAAGCTTCTTGACAGAGTACTGGAATTCTTAATAACCAAGAATCACTGTGTATGCGTGCACTTATTAAGGGCGTATAAGCTTCTATTCAAAACAAATCTGGAAATTCAGAAGTCACTCTTGTCATCCTTAACTTAGACAGTTGCCTTCACTCAAGTTTTCTATGAGGTATTAGAGTGCCTCACAAATCCATGTCCATAAAAGAATGGAGACAATCCTACAAGAAAGCCTAAGCAGTTAAGTAGCCGTCTCTAGTCTTTTAGAGAGATTATGACGATTACAAGAGAGTTATTCATAAGTAATGTATTCACACATCTTCAATGATATTCTGGAACACAACCCCTTCTACCTGAACAGGGCATCAGAGCTAGTTCCCCAGAAGGGCACAGCAGTTGTCAGGGATAATTTCCCTTCATTGTCTGAAGACCAAGAGCTCAACTTGCCAGCTCTACCAGTAGCCTTTACCTTCTCCAGTCACTAAAGAAATGTACCGCCAGCACTAAGAGCACAAGCACCAAACAATAACCTTTTTGCAAAGGCACCGAAACGAAGTTATTTTGATGTCTGAGCTACACTCGGTGACACCCCACAGCACCCGACTTGAAGGACCTATGTCCCACAGCCACATTCAGCCACAGCACACGCACCGGGACCGTGTTTCACCTCACCCCGGGGCGCACCGAGACCCCTCCTCGCTCCTCCAAACCCTGAAGCCCCTCCAACTTTTCCCCCCACTCCTTTTCGGCGAGGCCCTTGGGGGGGGCGATCCCGGAGCCGCTCTCCGCGGGCACACAAAGGGCAGCGCCTCGCCAGGCACCTGCCCCCCGCGCCTCGCCCCTCACCTTGAGGATGTTCTCGTAGATGGTGGCCCGGAACTCCAGCAGCGCCTTCTGGTCGAACTCGCGGCCGTGGATGATCCGCATCTGCTTGAGGAAGGTGGACTTGCCGCTCTCGCCGGCCCCCAGCAGCAGGATCTTGACGAGGCGCCTCACCGCCCGCCTCTCGCGGGCCAGCATCGCGTCGATCTCCCGGCTCCTCCGCCTCGCCTCCCGCTCCGCATCGCGGCTCCGCTCCTTGCCCTCTCTCCGTGCCTGCTCCGGGCCTCGGCCCGGGGCCTCGGCGGGCAGCAGGCAGCGGCTGAGGGTGCGCACCACGCCGGACATGGCGGCGGAGGGGGACGAAGGAGGGGAGGGAGGGAGGGGAGGGAGGGAGCCGCCTCACGGCGCCGCGCCGAGCCCCGGCTGCGCGGCCAGCATCGGGCGGAGGCCGCCGAGACGACGACGACGACGACGAGGAGGAGGAGGAGGAGGAGGAGGAGGAGGTGGAAGGGGGGCGGTGGCGGCGGGGCGCGGCCCGCAGGCCCGGGGAGGGGGCTCCGGCGGGTGGCTCCGAGCCGTGGGGGCGCCCAGGGGCCCGGGCAGCCGCCCCCCGAGCGCCGCGGCCCGGCCTCAGCCCCGCGGCCGCTGAGGGGGTGCAGGGAGGGGAGGGGAGGGGATTGGGGGGGGGGGTGTCGGGGAGCCCCCCGGTGGCTTCAGGCGGCCGGCGGAGGGAGGGGCTCCGCCCCGCCGACGCCGCGCCTGGTTGGGCGAGGGAAGCGTCGCTCAAAGGGTTCTCGGCTCTGATTGGATAAAAGCGCCGCGAGGGGACGGGGGTGCGAGGGGGAGAGGGCGGGGGAGGGAGGGGCAGGGCGGGGGAGGGGGAGGAGCCTCGCGGAGGGAGGCGGGGCAAAGCGAAGGGAGGGCCAATGGCGGGCGGGGGGCGGAGCGCGGTGGTGGTGGAGGGGGCGTGGCCTGCGCCGGGCTGGGGGGAGAGGGGCGGTCGGCCGAAGGGGGCGTGGCGAAGGGGTGTGACGTCAGACCGCGACTCCAGAGTGTGACGTCGGGTCGTGACGTCACGTTGCAGCCCCGGCGGCCGGGCTGTGAGGGGCCCCACGGCCTGCTGCAGGCCTGTCCTGTGCTTATTGCTTTGTTTCTGCTTCTGATAGGCTGTGTCATAAATACCTCATCCAGCTCCAGCTGTTTTGTGCTCCCCAGGCCTTTACCAAGCGCTGGGGAAGGCCTAGGCAAAAGAGACGAAAATAAACAAAAACCCTCCCTGGGAGTGCCCACTCTGACTGTTAATCACACCGAGGTGCTGTTGTCAACGTCCCCAAAGAGCAAATCTTTTTCTCCTTGCCAAGAGAGAGAACTGAAAAACACCTTTAGGCATTGCAGTAGTCAGGAGAACAACACAAAGCCACGAGCCATTCACTACAACACACAATATGTCTTGAAAAGCTGTTTCCTCTCGCAGGATCTTGCTCTCTGACTGCACTTTGAGGCAGCACGGCTCATTCCACCCTAAAATACTGCTGCAATTCACCACATTCCCCGCTGGAGGTCGTCATTGCCCCAGAAGAAGCCAGCCAGAGCAGGACGATGCAAACAAACCAGCCCCCAAATCCCCCATGCTCTCAGGCCTGATTTTCAGAGCAGCTGAGCACTCAGGACTCCCGCTGGAATCCACAGAGCCTGAGCTGCCTGAAAATCAGACCCTATGTAACTGTGAAGTGCCCAGATTGGTATTTTCTGATTAGCTCCCTTACTCCTGCCCCACTAGCTTTGTCTGCGCCCTGCTTGAGGTCCTCTTCAGACTTCTGAGCTTCTGAAAGTATTTGGCAGAGAATTCAAACAACTGTGAAGTGCAACTCCCGTGATAGGCCTGCCTCGTCTGTAAGTGAGAGCGAAATTATGGTATACAATAACCTCATCAGACAAATCAGCTACCATATGTCCTTAGTTCTCCATGCATCCATCCATGAAAGCAGCTTTCAATAGCTCACATCTAATTGTCAAAAGGAAAAGGTCCACCCCTCCCTCTTTCCCCCGCAGCACTGTTGTTGCTCATCTAATCATTCAGAAGCTGCTCTAAAAACAGGACAAAACAATTTTGTTTACTACTGCGGAGCTGCAGCAGTACGCTTTCTGTTACCCTGCTGAGGGACTGGGCAGAACCTCACAAATGCATGTGGTGATCCCTGCTGATGTTTCTGCAGATATTTTGTGATGAGCGTAAGCAGTAGGTGTAAGCATCCATGTAAAAGCTTATAAGAGAGAGGTCTGTACTCAGTCTCTACAGCTTCCCTTTCTCCATTTCCTTATCATTTACTAGTTTCATGTTTCAAAATTCCAAGTTCACCTCCCTCTTTTGGGCTTGTACTGTTTTTTGTACACCTGCTTCTATTTCTCCCTCCTTCAACTCCCATGGATGTAAAGAAAGAAAAAAGGAGACTGAAAGATGGAATAGAGGAGAGGAGGCTAGAAAGAGGCAGTGAGGGCAACATGATTTCCATTTCCCTTGTTGGCTACAGACTTTTAATGAGCAGGAAAATGAATATGAATTATGATCGGGAAAATTGGGAGCTCTTGCAGCACAAAATTCTGTGCCCCCGGGGTCTGCAAACAGACGGCAGAAGATCAAGGCTGAAAAGTTGTATGGGACTTGGAGAAGCTGTTGGATTGCTTGTACATACAGACCTTACTGCAGCTGGGCATGACATCTGGTCAGCTCAGGCGGATGAGCAAGAAGTTATGGAAGTAGCCCTGATATTGAACACCAGTCTGTAAATCCTGTGATTTCTGTGACTTCTTCAGAAAGTTCATACGAGGCTATGGCCTCACTGATGAATGTCAGCACGAAGTACAGGGAATGAGGAAGGCTGAGGTGCCTGAACTTGGTTCTCTCTGTGTTTCAAGTGTCACTTATTTCTGCTTGGGTTGAGCACAGAGGGGATATATGGATTAAGCCCTTGAAAGCATGAAGAGCTATCTTTCTAGTGTCTTGAAGCCCATAGTTGACCAACCCCAAATTCTTCCTCAGCCCCCTGGATGATGGCCCATTCTTCATCCAGCCTGCTGTGACCCATGCCTTAAAGACTATATTCTGTGCTCTGAAAGTATGACACAGTATGAAGGTGGTACTACTACAAAACTGAATGTTAGTCCATACCTGAGACACTGCTCTTGTCTTCCTGAGCACTACCAGACACTGTCACTGCCAGGAAAAATATTTTGCTCAGTGAAACCGGAAAGCAAAGCAAACAACAATGAGGCTATGCCTACCAGCTTGCAGTACAGCACCATGCAGCAATATTAGAGCTAGCTCGAATGCAATTTAAACTTCAGAGTTTAGGCACGAAACTGGCAATCTTTAGACAACAGCAAGATAAAGTATGCACTAATGGAATCACCTGAGCTGATATATCACCCACCTTGTCCTTTCTCACCACTGTGCTAGATGAGCGAACTGAGTCAAAATATTGAACTGTTGTTACCACAGGGCAGAAGTACTCCCAGCTTAGCCGGACTTGTTAAAAGATGTTGGGGCCCTTGAATTGCTCGTTGTGCATTCAGACAGCAAAGCTTGTAGATCTGAAAAAGATTTATGATCTAAGCTCCTTTTGCTTCTACTCCATTGTTGAGATCGTGACTCTGCCTATCTGAGGAGGTGCAGGAGTTTATATGCACTTCAAGCCCTTACCTAAGCTGGTAGATTTGTAATGTTAAAAGAGCTATATTCTGCTTACTGCATTCTCAGGGGTTTTATGCGGCTTTTTCAATGGCCACCTCTCTGCACATTCCCCACAGCAGCATGAAAAAAATAGAAAAACTGAATAATGTTCTCCTGTGGAGGAATAAAACAAAAACAATTCAAATAAATCAACTATTTTCTAGTAACCTCATTAAGTATATGGGAACCTTCCAGGACTAATACAGTAGTGTTTTGCTATGGGTACTGACACCTTAGCTGGATGTTTTCTGCAAGTCTTTATGATCTCTATTGTAATTTGCTCTTTTTCAGCAGTCCCAGTTCTTTGAAGTGATTGTAGTCTCAACTCCCATCAAGTCAAAGAAAACTGAAGTAGTTTGGCATCTCTCAAAAAATACATTTAAAAGGGAATTTGTTTCTCAGTATTTGCATTGTCCCTTTTAACACTGCTTTAATATACAGTTGTTTTGTACATGCATTTGTTTTTTTGACCCAGATTTGCCTAAACTTCTTGAGCTTCTAAGCATTAACATCAAGATATCACAAACAGGCCTAGAAAAAGAACATGAAAACCATGAACAGCCTCATAATGGTATGACTGGAAGAAGAATGGAGGACCAAACAGTGTTTTCAAATTATAATTGTTTGATATCAGCGTATTCTGATTTTTAATTATATTTTCTTTTCCCTTTGCTATCTCTGCAGGCAGGGAGGCTGCAGAAGGTTTCGTTCATGCTTCTTGTGGGTTTGCAAACATGGATTCTCTCACAATTGCCCAGCCCAGATACCAACAGGCAGTAAAAATGCCAAAATATGCTGTGAGGCAAAGTATGCCTGCTTCTTTTATTAAATTTGTAGCCACAGTGTTTTTCTTTTCTGTGTGATATTTTCATCTTCTGTCCCACAGAGAATACATTACTCATATACATAAAATATGTGAGTCGTGGCACTTCTTGTAGTTAATTTTCACTGTTTTCAGCCTGCTTGACAGTAGCCTGTTCTCCTTCATTACACACCAGCCAACGAGTGGATTAGTTTACTTTCAAAACACAAAACCCCATATTAATCCCTGAACAATTAATTATTAAGAGAAGACAAGCATACTTTTAACCCATGCCATGGCTTTTCTACTTATTTCATATAAGATGGCATGATCTGTGTAATTCTAGGCATGTCCTGCTAAGCATCCTGCAGACTCTAAGTTCTTAATGTGAAGTTCCCTTGGTTGTGCACAGGGACGATGTGCCTTGGTTCGGGGAGTTTAGAAAGATCAGAAAGTGAGGTTCTGCTCAAAGGTGCCCTCGGAGGGCACAGAAACTGGGCCTGTGGAGTCTGAGTGGGTTTATATCCACATGAGGTTATGTCTCAAAAGTCCTTGCTTCTGAGTTCTAAATCTGGAGACATTCCTAGAGCCCCAAGTGACAGAACAGGCATATGCTGGCTAGAGCATACATCCCTAGCATGCACAAGAAGTCTGGCATCTAAGAAACAACATAAAACCAGCCTTAGGTCCTAAATATGTTTGGAGCTCTGATTTTGAGTACAAAAGCCTCAAACGTTAAGCAGTATATCCAATTCAGATGCCTGTTTCGTTTAGATGTCTATGTTACAGAAAGTCATTGGAAAACAAGGAGAATAACATTAAGAGGAAAGAAAAGGTAAAAAATTCAAAAAGTATAAAAACAAAGTCAAAGAAAATGGAGCTCCCTGAGAACAGAATCTAACATGTTTGCTGCCAAATTATATACACTTTTTTTTCTGCATTGTTTTTAAAATTACATTTCATCTGGAGATGCAGAGCCAAATATCTCCATGGGTAACATGTAGCTCCCCAAACTCATAGGAAATTAGCAAGCCTTAATAAAATTTATGCATGGCTTGCTATTGCAGTTCCACATCTAAAGGGAAAACAGATGTTCGCTTTAGTTATTCTCTTCATGTCCAA